CCCCAAAACCCCAAAACCCCAAAACCCCAAAACCCCTTTTTACTTAAAAACAGTAATATTAAATATTATACCTTGTAAAATGGAGAGGAAAAAAGACATTGACCATAAAATTTCCAGAGTTAGCAACAAATTAGGTCTCCTTTTTGTCAAAGAACTGTTGTCTAAATAAATACAAGATAAACTACTATCAAAAGATAAAGGCCAAATCTGGAGCCTTCCATACATGGAAAGCAGTTTATCAAGAACAGAAGAAGAAAGAGCTTAAATAAATCAAAATCAAGCAAAAGTAATAAACTGCAGATGTATATCAATAAGCATAAGGTAAATATCTAATCAACTGGTAGCCTCTATTTAGTAAAAGCCTGGGATTGGCCTTCTAGAATGTTTGAAGGACTCTTCCCAGAGATAATTTGCATCATATTTAAATATATTCAGCAGTTGCTTTATTTAAGAAGTTTCTCCCGATCATATCTTTAAAATTCTTGTCAAAATCAGAAGTAATAATCATATAGATTATGATAAAATCTATTAAAAACCAGAACGCGATAAATATGCAACTGGAAAGTGAGAAGAAGCAATTAGCAAGACAGATCAGGATCTGAAAGACTCAAGTAGGTCTAAAGAAGCTCTCTAAAGCCTTTAAGAAGTGAAAAATGAGCACTGTACAGGAATGATTTACCGTACTGAGAGATAATTATCATCAAAATTTATTTGTAAGAAATCCTGAATTAAACAGGGATTCGATAATCAGTGATATTCCTCCCTGAAGCGAATTAGGTGATTCAAGGGAAGACCAGTATCCTATAAAGAAAATGCTGTCTAAATTCCATGAAGCTCCTTCAGATACAGACGAAAGTCAAGAAGAAGTGAGCCAAAGAGATTCAATTACTTCTCATGACAGAAGAATGATTGCAGAATTTGAGAAAAATCTTAAGTCAGGGAATATATTCGACAATAAATTTGATTTCCATCAAAAGACCCCTCTTGCCATTGATATACCTGAGCCAGAAAAAGAAGATGATGAAGCTGAGGTTATAAGAAAGAGCAAAGAAGATCCTAATAAAAGCAAGAAAACCACAGAAAAAGAAATGGGAAAAGAAACTCATCTTAAGAGCGAAGATCATGATAACAACTATTACCCTCAGGTTGAAAATATTCGGAGTAAACTTAGTCCTTTCGAGAAATTCAAGAGAAACCTTATAATCAATACAGACTCCATAAATAATGGAAGTATGAAGCAGTTACAAAAGACAGGTAACTTATTGTGACCCTAGGATCTTGAAATATATTTTATAGAGGATAACAGCGAGACCAACAAAATGTTGAAGAGAAGGCAGAATCCTCCTGCAACACTTACCACAAATGCAACATCAAGTAAAAATCGCGAACCTGGGCAGGTAATTTAAACTTTAATCTGTATAGCAAACTGAGGATCAATTTGATAATGGAATTTATTCTCAAAAATACAGAGAAGAGAAATCCCTTGAGGAGATCCAGGATCAGGAATAAATCAAGTCAAATTTTCCATTAAAATTGATGAATTCTCTCGATAAAGGTATAAAGAGACATAAAATTCCCTAAACACCTTTATTTTTAATCAAATATTTAAAATTATCCACTTCAGTACCTCTTCAAGTAATTGGGGTTTTGGGGTTTTGGGGTTTTGGGGTTTTGGGGTTTTGGGGTTTTGGGGTTTTGGGG